TAAAAACATGCACAGAATAAACACAGGGTAAGCTAACATAAGAAAGCCACCATAACCTGTCATATATAGTGAGATAAAAGAGTTTTATAAGGCTCATGAGTTACTGGTGGTTGACAGTTTCTAGGGAAAGTAGAGTAAGATTTCTTCAGGGAAATGGTCCCCTGTAGGTTAACTACAATCCTGTGGATGGCTGCCACCAATGTGTATTTTATGAGCATTAATTTTAAACTCTGGGCTTACACTTCAAAAAAAAAGGGGGGGGGGGCTGGAGAGTATCTGGGAGGAGTTGGAGACAAGGAGGGGGGTTAGATACAACTAAAATACATTGTATACATGTATGAATCTCAAGAGTAATTTTAAATGGAAAAACTGTGAATGGTTAGCTAGAGTGAAATGGGGTTTGTAAGGGCTTACTAGCTAACAACTGGCCTTTTCCCATTTGTGACATCAGAAGCCAGTGTGTTCCTATGCCTTGTGCAGAACAAGAAGTGTATCAAGGATGTGGCTTTAAAAATATTTTAGATGAAGAATTTAAGTCCAAACAAGGACTTCTGATAAATGATCTGAACAGAATGCATGTATAAGGTTTTACACATCGGCTCCCAGATGGCCAGAGATGTGAATTTAAGCTTGCTAGTTAAACAGATGTAAAAAGGGAAATGTGATCCCCGAAAGACTCAGGGAATTGCTTAAATCAGATGCAGCTAACTGTTCAAAAGGAACAACCGCCCTTTTCCCTGACATGAACTTTCCCCAGGAAAGATTCCAGGTCATGAGTGGACTTTTTTTTTTTAATGCTAATCATAACATGGTATAAAGATTTGTGGAGACTGGTTCTTACTCTCACCCTGAGAACCAAAGCCATGTGCTTACCACATGAAACTGCTCACAAACAATGTATATATTATTTATACTATTAATGTGTTTTATTTACTATTTTGTTATATGACATTTTATTGATTATTTATTTTCCTACCTCCCTATCTCCATGTTTTCCTTCACAGGGTCTCTAGCTGGTCTTGAACTCCTGATGTAGCCAAGGATAACCTCCAACTTCTAATCTTCTTGCCTCCACCTCTAGAATGCTGGGATTATTACCACACCAGATTTATGGGGTGCTAGGCCTCAAGACTTCTAGACAAGTATTCTACCAATTGAGCCCTTTTAAAAAAAATTATTTTTCGTTTTGAAACAGGATCTCACTGTGTAGTCAAGGGGACTATTTTGAACTTTGAGTGATCCTCTTGCCCCAAACTCAATCCCCTGACTGTTTCTGTTATAGGGCTCCACCATCATGTCCAGCATGTTTCTTTCTTAGAGTTATTTACTGTTTGCTTGTTGTATATATTACAAATATTATTTTTTGCTTTATTTTATTTTGTCCATGATGGTACAACAACAACAAAAAACTAAGAGAAAGATAATTGTTATGGGGCACTTTTCATATCTCACTCATTCTTCACTGGATTAAAACACAATATTTGCAATATGTTTATTCATTCAGCAATCGTGAATGGAACCCCTACAGCCAGTCCCAACAGGAAAAATTAGTCAACAATAAAACAGACACTAAAGATAGCAAGTCAGCCTGATCCAACTGACCTTTTAGTGGGCAGAGGAAAGCAAAAATAGATTCACTATTTAATGTCCTAAGAAATTGAAACTGTGGCTACAAAGAAGACTGTGAAAGTGCCTCCTCCACTACCGCCCAAGAAAGCCAGGTGCTGAGGCATATGAAAGTAGAGCCTTCTCCACCAATCTCAGTGGGTAGGAGAGCCTATCCTGGATCACATTGATTCTACTAGGGCTACTGTTTGCCCCTACCCTGTGCTCTAGGCAGGATCTTCTTTCATTCCATCATTGGGCAGAGATGCTCCCCTTGCCTTTTACTAGGGAGGAAACCTTGGCATTCAACAATTTTGGCCCCTCCCTTTGTAGTTTCTGACATTCTAGGGAGGATATACGGATAGTTTTGTCTGGATTGCTACAAACTAAAGTAGAGGCCAATCTGAGATCACTGCACGGTCCCTCTCTATCAACACCCATACTGTTGTGCTTCTTAGCCACCATTCCTATCAATAAGGACATTCCTATCACAATAAGGACAATTATAATCCCAGACAGTTGGCCTACTGGAGCACCAGGAACTCTACTTCTGGATACTAGCTGCCCTCATGTTTTCCAGAAGCCTTCAAGAAAAAGAATCTATGAAGCTCTTTGGCCAAGAGCTGGGGCTTTAAGAAGCAGCACCTTACATTCTTGTACTGCCCAACCCACAGGATATCCTGTAGGTAGCCTACCTCTCCAGGTGTAGCTCATCACTGACTGGATGAAGCTCTGGAAACATCAGCAGGGCCATGGAGATGCCTGGGTATTCTCTCCATCTAATCCAGAAGTCCTCTGTGCTCCACTATGCCACAAATCAGGCACAATCTGGTTTTGCTTTGTTCTCATTTGTTGTATCTATAACAAACACACACCAAATCACTTACACTAGAAGACAAGGAGCTTCCTAGAAGCAGTCTTATGCCTTAGAAACCAGGAAATGTGCCCTCTAATAGTTCACGTAACAGTTGAGAACATACAACATCCCAAATAGAAATTACTTGGATACCACCCCCCACATAACACACGTTTGGAGAAGCATACCAATCTTAATTTATCACTAGTTTGGTAATAAGATCATCCACACTCTTCATTTACAACATGGTAATCCCAACAATTCCAAAAATTATTTTGAGTTGAGGTGATTACTGGACAATAAACACACACCATCTAATTCAGAGAGTGAATATTTAGACTTCTTCTTACCTCTTTCTTTTCCTTCCACCAGGGCCCAGCATTTCCCAAATGAAGCTTAGGAAGAATTTCTTCCTGGTGCCAAAATTAGAATCTTCTAGTTACCCTGGTTTGGTTCATGCTTGTTGGTTCCTTCCTGTTCCCTTAGATTTCTCTATCATCTTTCTGTTCAAACAGACAATGGGGGTACCTAGATCCTATAGCCTGTCTGCTCTTAGAAGGCAGGACTTTAAAGAGGCTAATCCTTCACTTCATTAATAAGCAAGCTCACCTAAGAAAGCCAGGGTAAAATACAGCACAGGGGCTATAGTATGGTCAATGGACCAGCCTATGACTCAGACATTGCAAGTGATGTGTAAGTGAATCAAAGTTCCTGAAAAAAAACAAAAAAACAAAACAGTTTTATTGGTTACTGAAAAACACATAAAACATAGATGGCTGGGCCCAAAACCCAGTTTCTGATTTACTGAGTCTGGGCTTTGCACTTCTGACAAAGTCTCTTGTGATGCCATTGCTGTTGATCTGGGGAATTATGCTTGTAGAAACACCGGGTTAGAGATGAAGCTGGACTGTGTAGTGCTAATTTGTGTTTTAATAAATAAAGCTTGCCTGAAGATCAGAGTGCAGAGCTAAACCACTAGAGGCCAGGAGTGGTGACACAAACCTTTAATCCCAGAACTCAGGAAACTGAGGCAGAGAGATCTCTGTTAGTTCAAGGTCACCCTGGGCTACAGTAGTCGATCCAGTCTAAAAGAGAAACAAAACTCACACAAAGGTGATCCTAGTACTTGGGATCCCACGCCTTTAATCCCAGAGACAGGAGTGATATGGCTGGGGGGAGAGGGGAATGTAAGGCAGGAGACGGGAGCTCAGAGCTGTCTGAGGCAGTCAGTCTGAGGACAGGATCATTGCCACTTTGGTCTGAGCTTTGATATAGATAAGACCTCTAGTGGCTGGCTAGTTTCTGTTTCTTCAGCTTTTATCCCTATTATCTGACTCTGGGATTTTATTATTAATACTGTTAGGAATATTTCTTTTTTTTTTTTTTTTTTTGGTTTTTCGAGACAGGGTTTCTCTGTAGCTTTGGAGCCTGTCCTGGAACTAGCTCTCTAGACCAGGCTGGTCTCGAACTCACAGAGATCCGCCTACCTCTGCCTCCCGAGTGCTGGTATTAAAGGTGTGTGCCACCATCGCCCGGCAGGAATATTTCTTAACATGAGCTCCCTGACGACAAAAAAATTTCCAATCAAGCCAAATCAAAACAAGCCAAATTAAGAAATATCCAGGTTTAATGGGAGATTTGCACTCTTAGGTGGCCCCAGGGGAAACCGGGAAGCCATGGATTGTGACCCCAGGGAGGAAGAAAGGGAGACCTAGTGTTCCTTTTTGGGGAGATCACTTAAGTACCCTGGGGAGTGGTCCGGACTCCATCCCCAAGGAGGGGTCAGGACCTGGCCTGATCGGATTTGTAGTCCAAACCAGGCCTGGGGGCTGGGACAGATGTGAGGGACTGGGGCCTACGCTCCCAACTTGACAAATACCAGTCAAAATTTGTACTACAGGACTGTAACCACAGCTGTATTTCTTTGTTATTAAATTGCTGCAATTATCTCAGCCTGAGTTTCTTATATTTAAGGAGTTCAGCTAGCAATGTGTCCAGGTCATTTGAATGAGGAATATGGAGAAAGCCCTTAGCATGAGCTAGCATTTAGTAAATCACAAATGGACGCAACCAACCAGTAATGATTATGGCTCAAAACATACCATGGCACAACATTGCATCTTCCTCTAACCTTCCTTTCCCAACCATAAGGAATTCCTATCCTCAAAACAATGGACCTAAATTATGCATAAACTACAATCTTAAATCATAGTATTTAGAACAAAGATGACTTATCACCCTATGGCCTGATACGGATGAGGCGGATACTGACTGAAGAAAGAACTGCATACTGTACTATATACTACAATCTGCCAATAAGCACAATGGGACAAGAATTTGGCATTGTCTTGAACTAAAGAAACAGCTGGGTGTCCTTAATATTCCAACTAAAGTCAAGGAGTGAGGTGTCTTCAAGCAGGAAATGCAGAAATCTTTCCAGGCTGTACCTTACACTACAGCAATGTGCCAAGCCACCTGCCATTCTCAACCCTCCCCTGCAAAGCCCAGCTCATGCCTCCCTGCCTACTTAGCCATTTACCTTGCCTTAGTCGAGTAACGTTTCTTTTGCCATGAATCCAATTTTCTCAGATCATTTGGTGAAGAATCTGTAGACATTAGCTTGGACTGTGAAACCTTGAATCTTACGGCTTCTTTCTGGAAATCTTTTTCCTTTTTATTTCTCATCATTGTGCATCCCAAACCTAGAAAGGGAAAATCAGATCAAATGTGATTCTAGAATATATACCTGTAATCTCGGCACTTGGGAGAAGGACGGCAAATTCAGGGTTGAAATCGGCCTAAGTTACTTCAGACCCTGTAAAAGGGAGGGAAGGTGAACTGAGACTGGGAGGGAGAGGAAGAGAAGAGAGAGGGGATACGGAGGAAAGAGGAAGGGAGACACTGAACAAGGAGCTAACTGTAAGATGTGGACATAACTGGAAGGATTCCAGTTTTGTCCACCAACAATAGGCCTATGTTTATCTTACTCAATCTACCATGTTGTTATTGTCATGGCTGCACCACGCTGAACCATAGGATTCTTAAAACACCCGTCATGATCACATTGCAGCGAGGCCCCATGCCAAACTCTTAACCAGAATTAAAAACTCCACTGGCACTGCACTGATGCCCTAGAGATCTGTCTGTGCCCACACTCCTTCCTCACAGCAAAAGGAAGCCCACCAACACCCAGTCTGGAAGGATGAGATCCCGGGACCCATAAAGAAGACAAGACAGGAAAGCAGAACACAAAAAGGAAGGGAATAACTTCCCCACCAAAGGGACTCTGGGGTTTAGTCTTATTTGGAGTCTCATGAGTGGGAGTTTTATTTGGGTGCTTGAATCCAAATGCTCAAGGCCCTACCCTAGCCTGCACTGCTACCCAAACTCTAGTGCTGGCACTTCTGCACCCCACTAAACTTTTCTAGTAGTGTCTCTACTTTGAGGCTAGATTTCAAAGCCCGGAATGAAGATGATGAAGCAGTAAACATCTGTATTTTGGCTGTGAGTCTAACCTTTAACGGCTGAGCCATCTCTCCAGCTCAACATGTTTTTTAATCTATTCTAGCTCATTAAAGCCATACCACACCATTGCTAATGTCTTCAATCATCATTCCTGGAGGAAGTTGGATCTGACCGCTTAAGTCAAATGAAGATAGATACATACACTGTATTTTTTTGTCCTGTTTTATTTTCTATTACGTTTTTCTGAAATTAAGTCAATAATCTTCTTACTATCTGTCTCCACCTATCAGAATGAATTGTACCTGAAAAGCGAGCCGATGTGTCTCGGGTCTCCAGGATCTGGCACATCATAAGGTCAGGTGTTTCCTCAACGAAAAGGACAGACGGTATCTGGACAGAAGCAAGGATTACGCCCTCAGAATACCAGCGGTAACTGGCTTCCCCCCAACCCCACCCCCGCGCTGCTTCACAATCCCAGCCCAGCCCAGAGAAACTTCCCGCCAAAATCTATGCAGCCCAATGCACATGTCCATGTTGCTCTTTGCGTTATTCCCCAGGATTTCTGAGATAAAGTCGGAAAACTGAGACCTCCAGTCTTCTCGCGTTCATTCCTACCAGCAAAGCCACCTCAGTCCGTCCGGAGGGAGCGGGGGACTCGCAAGCCACGCGGAACGGCGAGTCGAACTGTCTACAGACAGGAAAAACAAACTCAAGCTTCCCATAATTCTTGGCGGACCGAGCACCGGAACCGCGACTTTTAAGCAGCCGGGACTTCCTGTGCTGTTGCTATAGTTTCCAGGCTCTGACTTGCAGTGACTAACGTGTCAATCAATTCCGAATTCACTTCCGGGGCACCCTCACGAACCACGTGAAGGCGTCTTCTGCTTTGTCTGTTTTCTGCGTTCGCCTCCCCTTTTCCCTTTTTCTCGCTTTGGAGCTTCACTGCTCCGTTCCAGTCCAAACAGCCAAAGTATGGAGATAAAGAAAACATTCTTCTGGCCTCTTTTTCACCTGTGAAACAGCAGCCGCTTGGTGGCAGCATGGTTTCATGAATGTGTGCAGGGTCGCTCTTCCCCCGCCCTTTGTGTTTAGAAAAAAAGGTACCTCAGTCAAGAACTACTTCCTTATGGAAACGCAGTATTTTCTGGCATTTTTGTGGCGCCCCCAGGTTTTTCTAATTCTGAGCCAATCTGATGAGTAGAAGAGTGTTTGGAAAAAAATGTTTTTAACTTGTTTCTTTGATTAATAAACTTAATGTATACTATCTGGGATATGCATTTTGATTTTTAAAAGGCAGAGCTATTTTTATTCTAAAAATGTTCGCGGAGCAGCTGCCAGCCCGGCAGAGACGGCTGTGGGTCCTTCCAAGATTCCCCGGGCGGTTTACGAACGGTGGCCCATCCCGGGCGGGCGGGCGCCCGGCCTTGCAGCAAGTGGGCAGGGCCAGCCCGCGGCGGGTCCGGGAGAGCCAAGCGGGCGAGTGTAAACCGGCGGAGGGTAAAAGACACATAGACACAGAAAATAGGCATAAAGAAGACATTTATTAAGGGAGAAAGAGAGAAAAGGGAGACAGGGATAGACACGAGAGAGGAACAGTAAGTGAGGAGCCAAGATGGCTACGGAAGGTCAGAGGTAGCGGGAGTGGGCGTGGCTTGTCTCTTAAAGAGATAGGAAAACATAACAGCTATAGCTTTCCATAGAACACATTTTCTTTATAGAGCTGATTATTAATAAGTAAATATAAGCATAGTTTGTGCTGCTGTAAAAAAAAAATTCAGGCTGGGTAGTTTATAACCGTTAGAAATTAATGTTTCTCATTTTAAAGGTTGGGAAGGAAAAGACAAAGGAATGAACTAGTTATGCTCTCTCAGGGCTTTCAAGATGGAGCATTGTCCATGGTACTCAGAGGAACTGTGACTAACGGGATGGAAGCAGTGTCCAGGAATTTACTAGCCATGACATGTCTCTTAATACAATCACCTAATCTTATTTATAGAGTTCGCCACCAAAAACCTTCCAAACCCTCACCTCCAAGTATAGTTGCATTAGTGATTGAGTTCTGTGACCAAAATATGAATACCTAACTGCCATATATTGAGCGGGCCTACTAAGTTAGCTAATTTCATGAGAAGTTACTACAAGATGGGTAGTTTCTGTTCTCATTTTAGAGGTGTATGTGTGAGTATATAATATACATAATTATACATCTAATTATATAGACATATATGAGACTTTAAAATAGCATAATTAGGAATCTAATTCAAAGATTTAGTTTATCATGCGTTGGAATTATGAGTATTTGATGTTGATTTCTGAGTTTTCCTTCCTGAAAAGCAAATATGTTCACTGGGTACTAAAAACCAGTGGCTGGAGTTTCTGACTGGCCTGTTGGAATTAATTTTGTACCTCATGTTGGATTATTAAAAGGCATCTGTAGAGAGACAGAAAGCAGCAAGAATTAGAGGTCTGGTCTGACTTTAGGCACTCCCAAGTTTATTCACAGTGAGCGAGCATTCTGTCACCCTCATGAGCAATGACCAAAATGCCTACAGGGATTGTGGGCCTCTTAGAAGGCCAGCAATGTAGTCCATATGGGAAGCTCAGAAGTGTATTATTTGATCAGGAACTTATCACCTCACACATTGGGAAAGCTAGCTGTGCTTGATGGCAGGGAGGCTTCAGGAAGGAGGCAGGATTCTGGATAACAGCACAATGTTGAGAGATATTGGGGAGACAACACATCAAATAGCCATGTTAGTTTTCTGTAAACTTAACAAAAGCTACAGTCATCTGGGAAAGAGATTTTCAACTAAGAATATGGCTCTCTAAAGTTTGGCTTAGAGACAAATCTGTAGGGCATTTTCTTGATTGATTGGTTGATTGATTGATTGATGTGGGAGGACCCAACTCACGGGGGCAGTACCATCTCTGGGCATGTGATCCTTGGTGGCATAGGAAAGCAGACTGAGCCAACCTTAGGGAACAAACCAGTAAGCTTAACTTGCTTTTGCTTCAGTTCCCACCTCTAGGTTCTTTCCTTGAGTTCATGTCTTAACTTCCTTCAGAAATAGACTGTGATGAAGAAAACATAAGAGGAATAAACCCTTTCCTTTCCCAGTTGCTTTTGGTCATGGTTTCTTAGCACATCAATAGAAACCCTAAGACAGCCAATAAATAAATTCAGAGGATTTGAAACAAATTTACCTGAATGCCTATAAATTGAACTCTGAAACCAGCAATCATATAATACTCATTATTTTCCAGCCATGGAATATGTATGATGATTACATCATAGTACATGATACACAATCAAAAAGTGGGACTGAGATGGCTCAGTGGTTAAGAGTGATCGCTGTTCTTGCAGAAGACCTGAATTTGTGTTTCCAGCATTCACATCTCGCAGCTGACAACTTTCTATAACTAACTTCAGAGTAGTTGATGCTTCTGGCCTCCATGGCCAACCATGTGTATATAAAAACACACACAAGTCCGTACACATTTGTAGCAAGACTGCCAGCCCCCAAATCATGACACAGAGATTTATTACTAATTATGAATGCTCAGCCTCAGCTTAGACTTGTTTCTAGCTAGCTTTTTTTTTTTTAACTTAAATCAACCCATTTCCGTTAATCTATGTGCTACCCTGAGGGTCATTTACCTCACCTACATACTGTCCACCCTGCTTTCCTGCTTCCTCTGAGTCTGACTGCCTGGCTCCCCTTTTTTCTCTGCCCACTAGCCCCGCCCATTCCTCCTCTGCCTAGCTATTGACCATCCATTTTTATTAGAATAATCAGGTGCCTTAAGCAGGCAAGGTAAAACAGCAACATATAATTTTTACATAATTAAACAAATGCAGCAAAAAAAATGCAATCCATCTTTACAGAGCTAAACAATTATTCTGCAACGCAATCAAATACAACACATCTTTACACAGTTAAACAAACATTATATTCTACAACACACATTGCTAAAAAAATCTTTATAAATAGTTTTCAAATGGGAAGTTCAGCTCATATAGAAAGGCTTGAAACCCTATCTGGTATAAATTAGTGATAACAAGGTCAGTAGTTATTTAGCAGGAATCAAGGCTTATACCTACCATGGAGACATGGTTTGGGGCATAGTTATTATGGAGTTCTTAACTGTTGGACTATGAACAGCAAAGTAGACATGACTACCCTTGAAATTTGTTCTCATAACCAGAGAGAAGGAAAAAACCAAAGCTGTGGTCAGAAATGGTGTGATGGAGCATTCCACCATAGTATCAATGGCTCGAGAATATTATCATATTTGCTTTCCTATTTACAAGGTCTCAAAATCTCACACAGTGCCATATTTTCATCTCTAGCTAAATCCAAGATCCATCTCTTCTTGGGAACACTTAGGCTGTCAGTGACCTGCTGCACCAGCTACTTCATGTGTCTGTCTATGAGAAAGACCTCACGGTATCTCCTTTAGGTGGCACACTGGGTTTCTTTCTACAGTAAGTTTCCTATGGAGTTTGAAGAAACATATTTAAGAGAAATTTTTTTTCAAGTTACAATGAAAAAATCCATGAAAATTGTTGAAAGATTGTGCTTTCACAAGAAAACGAAGTAAACTATTGCATTTATTAACTCTTTTTAGCCATATATATATATATAATATAAAAACATATATATATATATTTCAAGAGATGGTTTAGAGCAGTGTTTCTCAACCTTCCTAATGCTGTAACCTTTTAAGACAGATCCTCATGTTGTGATGACCCCAATCATAAAATTATTTCATTGCTACTTCATAGTTATAATTTCGCTACTATTATGAATCACAATGTAAATATCTGATATACATGATACCTGACATCAACCCCTGTGGGTGGTGAAACTCACAGGTTGAGAACCACTTGTTTAGAGTATAAATATATAGGTTTCTTAAATCAGCTTTTAAAGTTAGTGTGCAAAGTAATGGGTAGCATGATGGCATTTTCATACATGCTTCAGTCTTCCTTATCCGTTTGCCCCATTTTGCTGATCCCCTTCCTCTTCCACATAACCACTTTCTGCTTTCCTGTCACAGATGTTGCATCATTCTTTCTCCCCAAGATCTCTTTTTCATGTCTGTGTCCTCTTTTCTGATCTATGACCACATACAGAAAGATTTAAATCTAGATTCTTCAGATGTGAGAAAATGTAGTATTTGTCTTTCTTTGTCTGGCCTATTTCCCATAATATCGTGATTTCCCTTTCTGTTTTCCTCATCACAGGATGAATCTTTCTAGATTTTTGGACTTCTCTGAGTTTTCTGTTTCTTGGTATTTTGTTTCTTTAAGTTTTTGTAAAGTATTTTTGGATTCAGAAAGCATGTCTGGTGTGCAGGAAAGAATGTTACTGTTCTCTTGCTGCCTGTATACTTTCCTATTGTTCTTAGGATTAGAATTTTCATCTATAGCATTTTCTCCAATCTTACCGTTGAGACCCTCCTTTCCAGTTGTGAGTAGACATCAGTACAGTGCTGTTCGTCAGGCACTGAGAATTAATTCAGAACATCTTCCTTGAAGTCCATTGACCCCATGTGAACTCCATTTACTTCTAATCCTTTCTTCTCTCCAATATTTGAATAGCTACTTTGAGTCAGAAAAAAATAGGCATAAGTGAAGATAATTATTATAATAACTCCATCTGGGCTAGTTTCCTTGCATACCAGTGAGAAGAAAATTCTAGGAAATAGTCTTGTCTCTTGCAGTTTTAAGTTGGAAGAAGTAGCCTTACTCAATATTGTTAAGATCTATGTACTAGTCAATGCAAATATCTGTCTGCAAATAGTTGAACAGTAAACAGTTATATTATTTTAAAATATTAAAAATAAGTCTAATGTACTATTCACATAACATTCTTTTTTTTTTTTTGATTTTTCGAGACAGGGTTTCTCTGTGGTTTTGGAGCCTGCCCTGGAACTAGCTCTTGTAGACCAGGCTAGTCTCGAACTCACAGAGATCCGCCTGCCTCTGCCTCCCGAGTGCTGGGATTAAAGGCGTGCGCCACCACCGCCCGGCTCACA